GCCCCCCGGGAGGGGGGCCCCCCCCCCCTGGCCCCAGAGTCGAGGCCCCAGGGGGGCCCCCGGGGGCCCCTCTTTTCGCCTGCAACTCCCACAGCCTTTTTGCCTGTGGGGGCCCCCAAGGAAATTAGGTTTAGGGGAAACCCTGCGCCTCCTTTGTGGCTGCCTCCGAGGCCCCCTTTGTCTGCTGCTGCTGCTGCTGCTGCAGCTGCTGCTGCTGCTGCTGCTGCTGCTGCTCCCCCCGCTTGCGTTCAACTTGCTGTTCCGGTGGAGCCAGCAGCAGCGCCAGCGCCGCCCGCTGCTGGCGACGAAGCAGCAGCTGCTGCTGCGAAGCAGCAGCAGCTGCTGCTCAGCGACGCAGGCCTTGACGTGAGCAGCAGCAGCAGCAGCAGCAGCAGCAGCAGCAGCAGCAGCAGCGGCAGCAGCACAACAGGAGGCAGCACTGGCATCGCGAGCAAGGGCAGCAGCAGCGATGTCAAGAGCAGCAGCAACACCAGCAGCAGCAGCAAGTAGCGAAGCGCGTTAGGTGATTCAGCCAAACAGCAGCAGCAGCAGCAGCAGCAGCTGCTGCTGCTGCTGCTGCTGCAGGCTCGCTAAGTGCTCTCTGCTGGCCTTAGGCCTTCTGTGGTTTGTCTCTAAATATATTTTATTTTGTTTAGACTGCAGCCGCTAGGAGGTTTTATAGAAACCTTATTTGTCTTTGGGGGCCCCCAGGGGCCCCCCTGTGCTGCTGGGGGCCCCCTGTGCTGCTGGGGGCCCCCAGGGGCCCCCTGTGCTGCTGGGGGCCCCCAGGGGCCCCCTTAGCTGCTGAGTGCCCTCGGGGGCCCCAACTGAACCCTGTACAGCTCTTTGTCTTCACGGGGTGTATGTACACCTGGGCATCTGCTGCTGCTGCTGCTGCTGCAGAGGTTACTCGTGCTGCTGCTGCGGAGGTTGCTCATGCTGCTGCTGCTGCAAGTGCTGCTGCAGCAGCTTTTGCTGCTGATATTACTGGTGCCGCTGCTGCAGCAGGTGCTGCAGCAGCAGCTGCTGCTGCGGCAGGTGCTACTGCGGCGGCAGCTGCTGGCGCTGCAGCAGGTACTGCAGCAGCAGCAGCTGCTGCGGCGGCAGCAGCTCTTGCTGTTGCTGCAGCAGGCGCTACTGCAGCAACAGCTGCTGCTGCTGCAGCGGGAGCTGTTGCTGCAGCAGGCGCTCCTGCAGCAGCAGCAGCAGCTGCTGCAGCGGGAGCTGCTGCCGCAGCAGGCGCTCCTGCAGCAGCA